TCTTGCCTTTGCTCCAACAGACCAACTTTTTTCTTCATCTTTTTGGTATCGTGTGCTGTCTCTTTAAGCTTTTCATCAGTTTGAATCGACTTTTTCACGAGCTCGGTGATCTGCTGTTGCTGCTTTGCCATACTTTGGTTCGAAGCAGCCATCAATTGGTTAAGACCATCGAGTCTTTCGTTTATGGGCCGGAGCAGCTCTGTTAGCGTGGAGAAAACGTCTCCTTCTTCTACCCTCGGGCTTTGACCACCTCGCCCAACTTTCGTTCCTTTTCCTCGGACGCCGGCCATTTTCAGCTTTGTTTACACTAAAGAGAGGCTTTTCACTCTCCTTCAGCAAGTGCAAACTTATCCGCAAAAACAGCTAAGTCTTTGGCACACTTGAGCGCTTTTCGTTTCTCCTCCTCCCCTTCTCTTTAAAACACAGTTCGGTTTGTTTATGTCTGGGATTCCCTCCCGACGCCGCTATAGGTGTGGGGGGGTGGAACTCACTTTTAGAACTTGTTCGCTCGCCTTTTTCTCCGCTTCATTGACGGTCTGACCACAGACCTCTTTTAGTCACGCCTCATTCGCTGACCTTCTTGCTTGTCCCGGCCGGCATCAGCTACGCTCGGTAAAAACCGAGCCTCTCAGGGGGTTGACCAATTGGGGCAAAAAAGGAGCGCCTCAATTCTCCGGCTTAAAGCCATCGAAGAGGTCGCCCCGTGCACCCCCGGCTTGGAGCCTCTAAACTGAGGCTCACCTGGGGGTGCCACTTGAGGTGGCACTCCTCCAACACCCCTGGAGCGCGGAATGCCTCCCCAGCTTCAGGGGAGAGCCTCCGCCATCGCCGAGCCACAAACCGGAAGTCCCTAAATTAATTGGAATCTTATGGGTTAAGTCACCCTCCGAGCATTGAATTTGACAGGTTGTATTAGTATGCAGGGTTTTTTATTAGAAGGAGGAGTCTTGTATCAATCACCTGATATTTCTGCTGCTTTGGCTAATTTAGCAGCTTTTTTTTCTGTTCTGGAGGGCGTGGCAGCTAATACTGAGTCAACTAGAAGTCAGCCTGAATTGCTTAATGGGGGTGAAGAATTAGAAGCTGGCAAAGAAACTGACTGCTCACAATTAATACTTCTAGTTGCAAAAATAGTGGAGTACATCTGTAAAACACTTGAATGTCTGCATCTTAAAATAGACAATTTGAATAATTTGTTAAATAAAGAAAAGAAGGAGGCAAGTAATGCTCTTAGGAGTAGAGAATGTATTGAGACAAGACAATCTGAGTCCCTCAATTATGTACATGTAGCTAGTGAAGCCAAAGCTGCATTAGCGATGCCCAGCTTGGATGTTATTAATGGGAAGTACCAATTAGTGTTGCAGCCCACCAAGATCAGCTTGACTCTGTGTAAATATAATGGCCATATTCCTTCCGGGTATACTAAATCAGCAGTGAAGAGGCATTTAAAGACTTTGATGGGGAACCAAATAAGAGTGATTAACTTAAGAGACCTAGAAATTTTAAGCAGGGTTAATCAGGCTCAGAGAGTTATATTGATCTTTGGTTCCCCTCAGATTCCATCAATTTTGCTTCAGAGCAAGGATTTCATGAAGTCAAAAGGAGTATTCCCTACCTGGGTATATAGGAATATTATTCTGTCGCCATTAAGCTTGGTTTCTAGGGAAGCAACAATCCAGACAAGACGTAATGGCTCAAGGGAAGCTGT